AACCTGTGTGTTTATTTTGTTCATGAATTCTAAAGAATTAAACAATTACACAACGACGACTACGACGACGACAATTGGCTTTATATTTCGTATCAGATGTGTCATAAATATTTTTTCAATTCAAAGAAAGATTTGATATTTTCTTTCTTCTTGAATTCAATTCATTTATTTACATCATTCATGCATCATGGATTACCATTCTTTTCTTATCGCCTGTACTTTCAGGTAACAATTGTTTGTTTTGCTTTTTGAATTGTCAAATTGTTGTTGTTTTGGTTAATCATTATGATTCGGATATTGTACATAAGAAACATCAAAAAACAGAAACAGAAACAGAATGATGATAAATGATTTTTCCTTCTTTAGAAAAAAACTGATGATGCTAAAATAAGTTCATTTTTTTTGAAAAAATATGTGGGAGAAATATAATTTTGGTAACTTTTGATAGATTTATGAAATAACCAAAACAAACAAACCAACAAACCACTGACAGGTGAATGTAACGGAACAGCAATAATAAATGTCATCAATGATAAGTGTATGAGAACCAAAATCCGAAAAAAAAATCTTCGCCCAAATTATTCGTTTTTTGATCAAATTAAAATTTTTTGGTTCATCTTCCTATTGTTGTTTGTGTGTGTGAAATCCTTATGATCATATTTCTTTTCTTGTAAAATTGGGTATCAACCAAATATGATGACAGGAAAATAAAACTGAAAAACATCCTAAAATTAGTTGGTCAGTAGTGTATTCATTAGTTTTCATTTGTCACAATTTNCTATTAATAACCTGTGTGTTTATTTTGTTCATGAATTCTAAAGAATTAAACAATTACACAACGACGACGACAATTGACTTTATATTTCGTATCAGATGTGTCATTTTTTCAATTCAAAGAAAGAAAAAATTTTGATATTTTCTTTCTTTCTTCTTGAATTCATTTATTTATCATTCATGCATCATGGATTACCATTCTTTTCTTATCGCCTGTATTTTCAGGTAACAATTGTTTGTTTGTTTTGCTTTTTGGATTGTCAAGTTGTTGTTTTGGTTAATCATTATGATTCGGATATTGTACAGAAGAAGAAACAAAACAAAAAACAGAAACAGAATGATGATAAATGATTTTTTCCTTCTATAGAAAAAACTGATGATGCTAAAATAAGTTCATTTTTTTATAAGAAAAATATGTGGGAGAAATATAATTTCGGGTAACTTTTGATAGATTTATATGAAATAACCCAAACAAACAAACAAACCACTGACAGGTGAATGTAACGGAACAAACAATAATAAATGTCATCAATGATGTGTGTATGAGAACCAAAATCCGAAAAAATTATTCGCCCAAATTATTCGTTTTTTGATCAAATTAAAATTTTTGGTTCATCTTTTTTTCCTATTGTTGTTCGTGTGTGTGTGAAATCTTTTCTTTCTGGTCATATTTCTTTTCTCGTAAAATTTCTTTTGGGTATCAACCAAATATGATGACAGGAAAATAAAACTGAAAAACATCCTAAAATTAGTTGGTCAGTAGTGTATTCATTAGTTTTCATTTGTCACAATTTTTTTTCTGTTTCCATTCTTGAAATATTCTCACAATTACTACTACTGCTTGTTTTTTTCACATTGATTTTTGCCATGACAGTCAGTCAGTCTACTGTTGAAGCAAAAAATATGAATAATGAATGTTAATTAATGAAGATGAAAGTTTCTTGAATCACATGACAATTTATTGTATCAGTTATGATGATCAGTGTAGTTTATCATCACTGGAAATCATTTTTATGTTGTTGTTGTTGTTGTTGTGACACACAATGTCCACATCTACCTAATTTATGCCTATTTCAAGATGTTTCTTTTTTTTGATGCAAAGACAACTGGTGCAACCATAGAA